ATTTATATCAACTTCTGCAGTCTGAAATTTATCAAACATGCAATCAAAGATGCCTTGATAATTACTGGTGATTGAAATGCAAAAGTTGAAACCAAGAAGGATGAGCAGTTGGAAAATATGGCCTTGGTGATAGAACTGGTGCTAGAATATTGGAAGACTAATGACTTATTCTTTGCAAATACCTTTTTACAACAACATTAACAGCAAGTGGAGAAGAATATTAAAGGTGCCATGGAATGCCAGGAGAACAAACAAAAACTGAAGAGAAACAAATCCACAAGAGCAAAGAATGGCCTTAAGTACATCCCACTGGGATTTAGAGATCATCTCAAGAATAAATTTGATGCATTCGGCACTAATGACCGAAGACCAGACAGATGACATCAAGTACATCATACATGAAGCGAGCAGAAGGTCATTAACAAGACAAGAAAGAGAGAAAAGACCAAAATGGATGCCAGATGAGACTCGGAACCTTGCTCTTTAACAGAGTGTAGCAAAGCAAGTAGAAGAAATGAAGTAAAGGAGCTCCTTTACTGAATAGAAAAGTTGTAAGGACAGCTCTAGAAGACAAAGTGTTTGCAAAAAATGGCACCAGCTATTCTGGTGTGACGCTGTAGGATAAAGCACTGGACTGCAAGGTCAGTTTGGACCACAAAGTCTGCAATTCAAGCTTACCAACCACCCCTTGGGAACCCTATGAGTGAGTCTAAGGTGGCTATGATTCAGAACCGACTTCACGGCACTTAACAACCACAACATCCCTCTCAGAGTGCTCTCCACTCAGCTGGGTTTGATATTCACTTCAGTGGTCACGCCGTACTCAGACTCCATACTCTCAGGTACAGGGTTTATTAGAGAAGTAAACAGGTTCAGAAAATGCTCATGGCATAGTGATTATGGTCAGAATGCCCTCTCCTCAGCTGTACCCACAGGCAGGCCTCTGTTTGTCTGGGCAGTGTTATAAAGCTTTTTTAGGATTGCTGATAATTGTTTACAGGACACACCACTCCACCATAAATCTCAGTCTGAAGGCACTCAGCTCTAGCTCCATGAGTCAGCAAACCTAGTTCCCCAGTTAAGTTCCTGGAAGCACCCCACTCTGCAAGAAGCCTTCTTACTTGCCCTGTGCATTGGAAAACCCACCACTCTGTCCCATTGGTTCTTGTGCTTATGTTCTTCTGTTCCTCTTCTGGTATCACAGTTTCTGTCCCTGGACCCAGGAGGGTCAGTGTTCGGAGATCTCTGGGTCCAAAGGATGTGCTCCTGGTTTGTCTTCTTTGAAGGTAATGAGATCCCCCTTTCTGCTTCTGAGATGGCTCATTTTATACCCAGCAGGCTGTCAAAATTGGCCCACTCACAACTGGATCACATAATCCATCAACATCTTCCCCCACCTTTTCTTATTGTGACCTCTCAGATAAAAAAGAGTGTTTGGTGTGAGTTTACAAAGACTATGGCTGGACAGTGAATAAGGAAGATCGTAGAAGAATTGATGCCTTTGAGTTGTGGTGTTGGAGGAGAATACTGAAAGTGCCATGGACTGCCAAAAGAACCAATAGATCTGTTTTGGAAGCAGTGCAACCAGAGTGCTCCTTGGAGGCCAAGATGGCTAAGCTTCGTCTCTCATACTTTGGACACATTGTCCGGAGAGAGCAGTCGCTAGAGAAGGATGTCTTGCTGGGTAAGGTCAGAGAAAAAGAGGAAGACCCCCAATGAGATGGATCAGCCAGGTGACATCATTGATGGCGTCAAGTGTGGCGGTAGTGAGGTTGGCCCAGGATCGGACATTGTTTCGTTCTGCTGTGCGTGGGGTCGTTATGAGTCGGTTCCTACTCGATGGCACCTGACAACAACAACATGGCTGGAAGAGGCATTACATAATCCACTGCACCACAGTATTATAATGAAAAATACAAAGACCTGGAATTAGAACCATCGGGAGAACACACTTGGCATTTCTCAAGATGGAAGAACCGAAGAAAAAAATTCAAGCCTTTAGTTACCATACTGAAGGCAAAATATTGATCAACACAAATAATTAAAACATGGAAGGAATGCACAGAGTTACTGTACCAAAAAGTGTAGGTTGATATTCAACAATTTCCAGAGGACAGCATACGATCAAGAAGGTATTGAAGGAAGTCTAAACTTCAAAGCACTGAAGGTCTTGGTGACAAACAGTGCTCCAGGAATTGGCTGAGTGCCAATTGAACTTTTCAGCACACAGATGCAGTGCTGAAGATGCTCATTCCTCTATGCCAAGGAATTTGAAAGATAACTACCTGACCAATACTATTGCTAGCCACAGCCCTCAGGGGAGAAAGGTGGCTCCTTATGGTAAACACTGGGCTGCAAACCACAAGGTTGGCGATTTGAATTTGCCAGCCGCTCTGTGAGAGAAAGAGGAGGCTTAGAAACCCTATTCATGGTCGCTATGAGTTGGAACTGACTTTATGGCACTCAACAACAATATATGTATGTGAAAGATGAACAATAAAAAATGAAGACTGAAGAGAAGTAGATGCTTTTGAATTATGGTGTTGGCAAAGAATATTGAAATTACCATGGAGTCCTGGTGTGGCGCTATGGGTTAATGCGCCAGACTGCAAAGCCATTTGAACTGCAAGGTCGGCAGTTCAAACTCACCAGCTTCTCCTCCGAAATCCTATACAGGGTCGCTATGGGTGGGAATCGACTCGATGGCAATTAACAACCAGATGATCGAACAAAATATTTTGGAAGAAGTACAGGCAGAATATTCCTTAGAAGTGATGATGGTGAGACTTTGTCTCACGTACTTTGGATATATTATTGGGTCTGCCAGTGTCTGCAGAAGGAAATCATACTTGGTAAAATTAGAGGGTTAGTGAAAAAAAATGGTAGACTCTCAGTGGGATGGATTAACCCAGTGGCAACAACAAAGGGCTCACACATAACAACTGGTGCAGGACCAGATAGTGTTTCTTTCTGTTGTGCGTAGGGTCCCTATGAATCAGAAATGACTTGATAGCCCTTAACAACAACAGCAGTAATGCTGAGGATCCTGGTGGCACAATGCTGGTAGCTCAGAAGTTAAAACACTTGGCTACTAACTGATGCTCAAACTCAGCAGCAGCTCTCAGGGAGAAACGTGTGACAGTTTGCTTCTGTAAAGAAAGCCTGTGGGGTCATTTTCTTTTGTCCTACAGGGTGGCTGGTAGTGGTAGTGGTTGTATGTTGTATGTTCCAACTCATAGCGACCCTGTGTAAGAGTTCCAAGGCTGTAAATCTTTTACGTGGATGGGGATGCAGAAAGCCTCATCTTTCTCCCATGGAATGGCTGGTGGTTTCGAACTTCTGACCTTAAGGTTAGCAGCCCAACTCGTAACCACTACCAGAGTTCCTTACAGGGTGGCTAGGAGATGGGATTTATTTGAGGCGTCAGGTTTGGTTTTGGTTTATGCTAAGTGCAGATTGGACCATTGTGTTTCATAGGGTTTTCATTGGCTCTTAATAAATAAACAGTTCATTCTGCAACTGGTGATGAGGCTGCAGGTGCCGGAACTACCTTGGGGATGATGTTTCGTGACTCATGAGCTGGTCTAGAGCAGACTGGTATCTGCTAACAGCAGCATGCTGAGTGCTTTCTGGCAGAGTCTCCTTTAATCTCCACAACCACCTTCTTGGCTAAGGTACTCTTTATAGCTGCAATTTACATCTGAGGAAAGTGGTAGGGCTGATCAGGGATTTGAATCCTAATCAAAATCTGAGCTTTCATCAACTCCTCCTCCTCCTCTCCTTGTCCCAAGATGTGACTTTAATGTGAACTAAGGCCTTGATTGAGGTGGGTATGTGAGTACCTACTGGATTCTTCATTGTCAACACTTTAATTGAGATACGCAATTACCAACACTCTGTGTAGTGTATTTGTTATTTTTCTGGCTTGTGCTTTTAAGCCTCTATTTGTAGTAATATTTTAAGTTAATTATTGGTACTCTAAAAGCTCTTACACTGCCATATAGTACTTTAAATACAGTGTGATGTTTTTAAAATAAAATATTAGACACTGGGAGCAGGGCATCATTCTCTCTCCTGTGGGCTGAGCTTCAGTGTTATGACAGGAATTCACTAATGAAATAGACATAAAAAGGATCTCCTTGAAGATTTAAGAGGGTCATATATTGTGTGTAATTGTTATTTTACCCGTTAACTTCGTTTTCATTTGTGTACCTGCTACATAGCTTTAATTATGTTCAATTATTCCACGTTTTGTAAATTACATTAAGTCTTTTATTCCTTCTTATTGTCCAGAGCATTTAGTTGGATGGTATGTGCGGTCTAATTTTTAAGCACTTTAGCGTAAGTCTTTGGGGTGAGCTTCTCTTGATAACTACCTAGAACATTAAAGCATTTCACCGCTACTACACTTCTAAAGGGGCGATGGTGGCAAAGTGGATTACGTTTTGGGCTGCTAACCACAAGGTGAGCAGTTTGAATCCACCAGCTGCTCTGCGTGGAAAGATGAGGCTTTCTGCCCCTGTAAAGATTTGTAACCTTGGAAAAGGGTTTCACAGTCTCTATGAGTTGGATCCAATGAGGTGGCACACAACAATGATGTCTAAACCAAAACAAAAATCCCACTGCCATTGAGTTGATTCCTACTCATAGCAACCCTCCGTAGGGTTTCCGAGATGGTAAATCTTTATGGCAGCAGATAGCCTCATCGTTCTCCCACAGAGCAATGGGTGGGTTTGAACTGCCACCCTGGTGTTTGACAGACTAACCCACAGTGCCCTGTGGGCTCCTTATCTTTTAAAGGAAAATGTTAATTTGTTGTATGTGGCACTGTAGGATAAGCACTGGACTGCTAACCACAAGGTCAGCGGTTCAAACCCACCAGCTGCTCCTCGGAGCCTATACAGGTTTCAACTAGACGGCCTGTAACAACAGTCCTGAGTTCTTGACTGCTCTATAGGAGAATGAGTGTGTAAACAAGACTTTTGTCCATTTCTTTTCAGGAATTACAACATATTGTTGGATCACAACACATCAAAGCAGAGAGAGGTAAGCATGACTCTGTGCATCTTTGAAGTTTCACAGGCTCACTACTCTCAGCTAACCTGGTTTCTCCCATCTCCAGCTCTGGTGGAAGGTTCATGGCTAGACCTGGCCAGGAGGGGCAAGCCGGACACTCAGCCTTTTGCTCACCTCACTATTAATGCCACCGACATCCCATCAGGTAAGTTTTATTTGCATGCAGCCTGAGGTATATTTCAGGAGTCATTTATCAGTCCATTTGAATATGCAAACTTAGCTAGTCTGTAAGACAGTAGTTTTGTGCAGGAGCATTAGTGTAAAGCCAATTCCCAGAAGGCAAAGATCTTATATATACAAAGCATATTGCTGTGTTCCCACTTTTCCTTCATTTCTGATATCCACCTCCCCCTTCCCCAGCACGCTCTTTCTCAGCCTCTTTAGTCAGTCTCTTCAACCTAGTGCCCCACTGTGGTGTGTTGTAGGATAAGCAATGGACTGTTAACCACAAGTCTAGTGGTTCAAACCCATCAGTGGCTCTTGAAAACCATAAACAGGGTTGCTATGAGTCGGAACGGACTCAATAACAACAGTAGCCATCAACAGCTAATCCAGAACTCATAGCTAAAAGTACATTGTCCTTGGGTGTGTTCATTCTCTGGGACAGCTCACAGAACTTGTGGGAGATAGTATTCTTACAACTACTGGTTTTATTATAGTTAAGTGCCGTTGAGTTGGTTCTGACCCACAGTGACTCTGTATAGGGTTTCTAAGGAATGGCCGGTGAGCTTGAACCACCAACCTTGCCATCCAGCACATTAACCCACCGTGCCACACCAGGACTCCCTGATTATAGTGTTGTTGTTGCTAAGTGCCATCGAGTTGATTCCAACCCACAGCGACCCCTGTATAGGGTTTTAGAGGAGCGACTGGTGAGCTTGAACCGCTGACCTTGCGGTTCAAACCGGCTTTGCAGTGCAGCTCATTAGCCCGTAGTCCCACTTTTACTGTATTATAGTAACAGGATCTAAATCAGGCCTTTCTTCAGGAAGAGCAGCATGGATGAGATCTAAGAAGGTCCCAGATGGGGTTTCAGGCCTTATTAGTCATTCCAGCAGAACAGGCCATATCATGGCTCCTGAGACTAGTTGATACCAACTCCCCAGGTGTGTTGTAGCCAGCACCCCCATTCAGCACTGCTGCTCCAATGTGTCCTGCAAAGCCCAGATGTCAGCATCCCAGTTACTCCAAGGGCCGTTTCACATAAACCAAGGCCACAAACCACCTGATTTCAGGTAAAGCTAGATCCTTTGCCCCACATCCTATTACAAAATTTGAGAGCCCTTAACACCTGTTGCTTATTACTGTCGAGTCAGTTACGACTCATAGTGACTTTGTATAGGGTATTCGAGGAGCTGCTGGTGAGTTTGAACCGCCAACCTTAAAGTTCAAACCGACTTGCCATCCAGTGCTTACCATACAGCACCGCACCTTAACGTCCTCTAGCCTGATGGAAAGTTGATTGCTGTTGATCCACACTCAAGCTGACATGCTGGCAACAATGATTCTCAGTCATCCCAGAATGGGCGTCGTGAGAACATTCACTTTGTTGAATCAGTGCAGGTGTTTACTTTAAAAGACTGGTTGGGTGTGTATAGTTGAAAGGGCAATCCTTTGCTGTACCTTTTTTTTTTTTTTAGTTTTAGTTTTTAGTATGAACTGAATGAAGGTTTACAGGGCAGATCACCAGTTTCATATTCAGCAAATCATTGCAATGCTTACAATCCCCTCTATGCACCATCAGCTAACAGTTTTTACTTCTATAACCCCTTTTTATCTTTCTATGTACACATACCCCATTTAAATGTCCAAGGTCACTTTTTTATTTTAAGTTTTTATTGTGAGCTGAGTGATCGTCTACATGGAGAACATCAGCTTTACATCACCCTTTTCATTGCAATTACAATCTCCTCCCTGCATCATCATTCAACAGTATTGCATCCATTCCCTCTGTTGTTTTGTTTTGTTTTGTTGTTGTTGTTTTGTTTGGGTCAGGGGATGTTCACAGAAACACTCAGAAATATATAATAATATAAATAACCAAAGGGCACATTCTGCAAGCCTGCCTCCTGGCCTCCAGCACCCAGTCCCTCTCTTCCCATGAGTCCAGCGTCCTCAGCTGGTTCCTTTTTTTTTTTAAGATTTTAGGGTTTATTTTTCCTCTGGTGAAAAATCCACAGTCATCGCAGAATATTTATTCCTTCTTTTTGCCAGCACCAACATTGACCTTTGCAGTCCCCCTGACTTTCTGTGTTTTTGTGTTCTCTGGTGTCGCTGTTTCTCTGGATAGGTTTTATTATAGTTAAGTGCTGTTATTATAGTTAAGCATTCCACCTATGCTCTTCTCCCTTGATGGTCTTAGGTCCTCTGTTTCTGGAATTTAAGATTAACTACTTCCCCATTTTTGTTCCAAAACTTCTATCTTTACAATTGTGACAGTCGCAATTAGTCATGAAATCAATTATTCACTATGAATTCGTAAGAATCTTATCCTCATCTCTTTTCAACAGATCCGTCTAGACAAGATGAAAACTATTCAATGGGGACTCTACCTTCCCCTGCACACTCTTAAACTAAACTTCCTCTTGAAAACTTGTAAGCCAGTCACTTGCCTTTATTGCCCCTCATTTTAGGTAGCCAATGTCTTAAGTTGCCTGCCCTTATCAACCCTGTGTATAGAGGGGATAGCTTTGATACTTGATGTGAAGACTCTGTTGGTATTTTGAGCTACTACATCCATGAGTATACGTCAAGTTCATCAAGTTGTAGCAATTTACACTCATTTCTTTTATCATAATTTTTTAAATCCTCCTCTAGTCGAGTTCTGATTATCAAGCCATTGAGGCTAGGTCAGATGGATACTATCTGCAAGTTTGGGCATTCTTGTGTGTTTCTCCTCACTTCATATCAGCTGGATACCTCACTCTCAGCTCTAGCCCTCTGTGGCTATGTCCTTGTCCGTAGGTTCTGGAGACCCATGGTCTCACCACACTTCAGACCAAACAGCCCTTCCTCTTCCCTCGCTCATCCCTGGGTCAATGGGAATCTATGGAATGTGGTTGAACTCAGTCCATTTCTTCATTGCTGCCTTTCCCCCTCTTCCAATCACCAGTAGACCAATGTGGTCTACGTTGCCTGCTCATATTGTTCCTTGAGTTTCAGTGTTGGAGGGGGGTGGGGTTGTCTTGAAGAGACTTGATTGCTTGCCTTGATGGCTCCCCAGTGAACAACTTGTTTGTTCTTGTAGTTGTATCATACTGCCATTTTTGTTCTGGAATTTTCTTGCTGATCTTTCTTTGAAGATGTATCTTTTGTTGCTCTAACTGTTCAAGGCTGGTCTGCATGTCTTTTCTAGTGGAAATGTCCCACTTCATAAGGTTCTGGATGGGGCTCAGCTTTCTACCTAAGGTCCTATACACTGCAAAGACTCTGCAAGAAGCCTATTTCACTGGGCAATTTCTAGAACCCCTTTTAGGTGTTCCAATCAGTTATAGACTGAAGATGGGTTTACAAGCTTTCTGTAATTAAGTTTCCTAACATTCCTTTCTATCCCACTCAAATGCCTATTTTACAATAGTCGGCAGGGAAAACCTATATTCATAAGGCAGTCAAGTGTCTTAACATTTTTTTCCCCTCTTCAGACTATGCATCGATCCCTGTATCACAGAGCCCTGTTATTGCAAGTTTGAGCATACATCACTATTTACCTCTGTCCCATTTAGTCCATGCAAACCTGTCTCAGTGTTCCCCTATCTATCTTGTTCTGCCATCTCAACTCCCCCTTTTCATTTATTGCCGTCCCCAACACCTGAACTATGATGTGTCTACCCCTACCCTGTGCTCCACCGTCCCCTCCCCTCCACACCCCCAAACTCCCACCCCTACCGGTAACCAACAAAGAATTTTTTTCCTTTTTAGAATGGGTATCTTTTCTTAAGATTTTACAATAATGGTCTTAATATTTATCCTTTTGTGACTGACTAATTTGACTCAGCATAATGTCCTAAAGGTTCATCCGTGTTATGTGGTGGCTTGCAGCGTCCTTGTTATTCTTCAAGGTAGGATAATATTGCATTGTGTGTATGTACCAAAGTTTGTTTATCCATTCTTCCATTAATGGGTACTTAGGCTGTCTCCATCTTTTTGCTATTGTAAACAGTGCTGCTATGAACGTTAGTGTGCATATATCTACTCATGTTATGGCTTGTATTTCTTGTGGATATATGCCAAGTAGAGGAATTACTGGATCATATGGTATTTCTATATCCAACATTCTGAGGAAGTGCCATACTGTTTTCCAGAGTGGTTAGACCATTTTACATTCACACCAGCAATGCAGGAGGGTCCCAGTCTCTCACATCCTCGCCACATTTACTGTCCTCTACTTTTTTGAACTTCACTGTTATTGCTGGTGTGAGATGGTATCTCATTGTTGTTTTGATTTGCATCTGTATAATGGCTAATGATTATGAACATTTCTTCATATGCTTATTGGCTGCCCAAATCTCTTCTTTGGTGAAGCATCTGTTTGTGTCTTGTGTCCATTTTTTAATTGGGTTATTTGTCTTTTTCTTATAGAGGTGTAGTTTCCTATAGATTTTAGAAATTAGTCCCTTGTCTGATATGTCATTGCAAAAGATTTTTTCCCATTCTGTGGGCTCCCTTTTTACTCTTTTGATGAAATCCTTTGATTCACATAGTTTTTAATTTTTAGACTGTTCCCGTCATCTATTTTGTCATCTTTTGTTTGTGTTATTTTTGCAATGTTTGGTAGTCTGTGTGTGCCAGGTATTGTTGTTGCTGTTGTTAGGTGTCATCGAGTCAGTACCGACTCATAGCGACCTTATGCACAGCAGAACGAAACACTGCCCGATCCTGGGCCAACCTCACTACTGTTGCCACACTTGAGTCCATCGAGGCTGCCACTTGGCCAATCCATCTTGTTGGGGGTCTTCCTCTCTTTCTCCGACCTTCCACTTTATCAAACATGATATCCTTCTCCAGCAACTGGTCCCTCCTGAAAATATGTCTGAAGTATGAAAGATGAAGTTTGGCCATGTTGGCCTCCAAGGAGCACTCTGGCTGTACTTCCAGAACGGATCTATTGGTTCTTTTGGCAGCCCATGGCACTTTCAGTATGTTCAG